ATGGTGAGGCCCAATCAGGTTACGGACATTTTTCTGGCACAGAGTGGAACATCTCAGATTCCCGACTCCAGTGTCGGCAAGTAGTGGTATGACTCGGACTCAACGTTGGAGGTTGCAGCGTCAACGAGCAGGATGGTATCAGGAGTCAAAACGAAAGAGGAAGTTTCAACAATCACCTTACACTGCGGCTAGGAAATAGACTCGAGTAGTCAAGCAGTGGCGAGTCAAGGAGTAGGACAATATGGATATTAATATGGTGTATGTACTTCCCAAGGAGTTCGCTGTTAGACAAACCGTGGCAGAACTATTGAAAGTAAAGGTTGTTAAGCCAGAAGAAGTACCAATGCCGAAAGCTAATCAACAGTTGAAAGAAGTATTGGGTATTAAAGTGACAACTGATGGAGATTCTCCAACAGTAGTAATTTCTGTGCCAGAATCGATGTCTACTAGCCATGTGAAGCCGCTATATGTGCAGGCTTTGTTGAATGGTGTTCCTATAAATAAGATATTAGTTGACAATGGCACGGCTGTAAATATTATGCCCACTTCCACTTTATGAAGGTTGGGAAAACAAGAAGTGTATCTGGTCCCTACTGAGATTGCAGTCAGTGGTTTTACGAGAGATGTGACAAGTACTCGGGGAATATTGTCAATTAAGGTAGAGTTAGGCTCTCAAGCAGTCATATCGGCTTTCTTTATAGTGGATACCACAGGATCTTACGATGCTATGTTAGGCCGTGACTAGATTTATTCGGTCAAATGCGTTCCTTCATCTTTTCATCAAGCTCTGGTAACCTGAGGGGCAGGCGGACCAGAAGTAATAAGGTTTGATGCTAAGCCTTTCATGGTTCAAAGCAATGCGGCTGAGGCGTTTTATTATAAAAAAAATGTTGGACCATGTAGGTTACTCGGGATTGATAAATATGGTAGACCTATGACCGCAACGCCTATGAAGAATATAGGGTCAGGGAGTGGAAGATGTTTTTGCAAGAGATCCGAAGGCCATGTCAATATTTGGCACCCAAGCCGCAGGATGCTGGATCGATTATAGAAGAGGTTTCCGATGATGGTGAAGGATTCAATAATTGATTGGTTGGAGTCATTGGCATTATGTATAGTAGATGTTGTTTGTGAAGATGAACCAGTGGTTGAATATGATGATATTGAATTATCGGAGTTGGCAAGAGCAAGTAGTAAGCTTGAGGATGACGCCGTGGTGACAAAAGAGCCAATTGAATCTTTGAATTTGGGAATCGGCGGAGAGCAAAAGCCAACATTTATAAGTGCGTTACTTTCTGGCGATCAGAAGAAGGCATTGACAAAGGTATTGATGGAGTATCGGGATTGTTTTGCATGGGATTATACCGAAATGCCAGGAATGGATCGTAGTTTGATTGAGCACATGATTCCCACAAAGAAGGAATTCAAGCCAAAACAACAGGCGCCACGAAGGTTTTCAGATAAAGTAACTGCTAAAATCAAGGAAGAGATATTAAGGTTATTAGCGGTTGGTTTTATAGAGGTGGCAGTTTACTCGGACTGGTTGGCAAATGTAGTACCGGTAATTAAGAAGAATGGTAAGACCAGAGTTTTCGTGGATTCCGTGATTTGAATCTGGCATCTCCAAAGGATGAATATCATATGCCGATTGCGGAGATATTGATCGACTGATTGGTTGGTTATCTATTTAAGAGCTTCGTAGACGGGAATGTTGGGTATAATCATATTTATATTGCTGAGAAGGATGTCCCAAAGATGGTATTTCAGTGCCCAGGAGCGTTAGGAATCTTTCAGTGGAGAGTAATGCCATTTGGGTTAAAGAATGCCGGAGCGACATGTCAAAGGGCCATGAATTATATTTTTCACGATACGATTGGAAATATGGTGGAAGTATATATTGACGACGTGGTGATAAAGTCTCATACTTTTGAGGAACATCTGGATCAGTTGGCTCAAGCTTTTGCCCGGATGAAGAAATATAAGCTAAATTTGAATACATTGAAGTGTGCATTCTGGGTAACTTCTAGAAATTAAATGGGATTCTTAGTCCAAGAGAAAGGGATAGAAGTTGATACTGAGAAAGCCAAGGCTATTATAGATGCTAGACTGCCAAGAAATAATAAAGAGTTGCAGAGATTGATTGGCAAGATGAATTTCTTGAGACCGTTTATAGCAAATTTATCTAGAAAAATCAAGGTGTTTTTGCCATTGTTGAAGTCCAATAATACCGGTGAGTTCGTTTGGGGAGAAGCACAACAAGAAGCTTTTGATCGGTTGAAGAGATATTTGGTAAATCCGCTTGTGATGACATCATCACAAGGTGGGAGGCCATTGAAACTGTATATATCGGCTACAGAGGATTCTATTGGGTGTTTCTTGGCTCATGATGGTGAAGATGGGCTAGAAAGAGCAGTGTATTGCCTAAGCCGGTTGTTGAATGATGCCGAAAGGCGGTATCCGCCCATAGAGAAGCTATGCTTAGCTTTATATTATGCTGCTGTAAAATTAAAACATTATATGTTACCAGTTATTGTGTATGTGATTAGTAAAGTGAATTTGATTAGATACATGTTATATCGGCCGACTATGAGTGGCCGTTTGGGAAAATGGGCGTTAGCGTTAATGGAATATCAATTCCAGCATGTACCCCAGTCAGTGGTTAAAGGACATGCGTTGGCGGAGTTTTTGGCAAAGTATCCGTCATTAGATAGGGATTGGTCTGAGAAAGAGGTAGAATCTTATGAAATTGTGGCCCTGGAAGAAAGACCATGGGATATATAGTTTAGATGGGTCTACTACTTTTGTAAAAAGAGGAGCTAGGATTATGATGTTATCACCAAACGGTGTGGCCATGAAGGTGCAGGTCAGAGTGGGATTTAAATATACTAACAATCAGGCGGAGTAAGAAGGCATCGTGTATGGTTTGTTAGGCTTTGCTGTTTAATAAAGTAAAGCGTGCAAAGGTGGTTGGTGATTCTTGGTTGATTATTCAGCAAGCTTCGAATGAATGTCGTTGCAATGATGATGTGCTAGTTAAGTATTGGAAAATTGTAGAAAGGCTAAAGGAACGGTTTGATCACATCGAGTTTGAATATCGACCTAGAGAGTGTAACCAAGACGCTAATAGATCAGTCGCTTTCTTTCTATGTTGTTGACTTAGATCGGCCAGCATATGAAGATTCGGTGGCAGTTATAAATAATGTAGGTACAAAAACAGATTGGAGGGCACCACTGATCGAGTGTTTGGCTTTCCCGGAAAGAAAGGTTGATTCGAAACTCCGAAAACAGTAAGCTAATTACTTGCTCATTGACGGGTTGTTGTACAAGAAAATAGAAGATGGGGTATTGCTGAAATGTGTTAGCAAACCAGAAGCGTTTTTAATTATACTGGAAGTGCATGAAGGAGTTTGTGGTGCTCATCAGGGTGGAAGGAAAATGTCTTGGTTGATTCAAAGGTACGGTTATTTTTGGCCAAGTATAACCAAAGATTGATTCAAAGGGTGTAAGGAATGTCAAAAGCATGGGTATATTCAGAAGATGCACCCAGAGCCGATGCAGATCATAGTGAAACCATGGTCGTTTAGGTGCTGGCAATGGATTTGATTGGGATAATTTATCCTCTGTCAAGTGAAGGCCACAAGTATGTTATAGAAACTACCGATTACTTCACTAAATGGGTAGAGGCGATTCCAATAAAAGAGGCCAATCAGAAAATTGTAATTAAGTTTGTGAAAGAGAACATCATTTATAAATTTGGAATTCCAGAAACTATAGTTACTGATCAGGCCCAGTACTTTGTTGAAAAATATATGGTAGAATTTGCTAAGGAGATTGGATTTGCTTATACGCATTCTTCTGCATATTTTGCACAAGGGAATAGAAAAGCTGAAGCTTCTAACAGAATTCTTAAGGGGATTGTGCAAAAATCTATAGATGAAAACCCAAGAGAATGGCATGAATTGGTTCCCCAAGCTTTATGGGCTTATCGGACAACTAAGCGAGGAGGAACTGGAACTACTCCTTATGAGTTGGTTTATGGGCAAGATGCAGTATTACCGGTTGAACAATTAGTCAAGTCGGTAAGGGTAGCTGATCAGTATCCTATCAATTCAGAGGAGTATCAACTGGCAATGCATGAGCAATACGAAAGGGTAATGGAAACAAGGAAACAAGCTATCCAACTTATTCCAGTTAGAAAAGGAGAGAATGTTCAAGCAATATCAGAGGAATACAAGGCAGAGGATGTTTGAACTTAGGGACAAAGTTTGGAAAGCGATTTTGCCGATTGGACAGAAAGACCACAGTTTAGGTAAATGGTCATATACATGGGAAGGTCCATTTATCATACATCAGAGTTTAGGCAAAGGGGTTTATAGGCTCAAGTCATCAACAGGAGAAGTTCATGCAAAAACAGTTAATGTTATACTCCTAAAGAAGTATCATGCATCAGCATAGGATCAACTAAGTGCCACAGATCAACAGATAGCCAAAGAGTTAGCAAGGCAAAGATATGAATAGTAAAGCAGTTTTGTTCAGAGAAAGAAAAAAAAAACCATCGAAAAGTAAAAGAAATATCCCAAGCATAATGCACGTGGCCAACAAGATCAAGAGAAATAAATTGTTTTAAGACCCACGCAGGGACCAATGGTGATAAATTGTTCAGAACAAGGGATTTACTCACCCTTCGATTCACTAGAATGTTCTGGAATAGGTCCTGCACTAGCATCAACCATCAATTGTCTCAGAGCGGCTACCACTTTCCCCCATGTTGAATGAGTATCCATCAGTTTGGCACCAACTTGATCATTTAATGGCCTAGCAGTTTCAGCTTTGTAGTGCTATTATTCAACCTGATTAAGAGCTTTAGCCGCCTGATCGGATAACGGGACCAGCTCTCAGTTCTTGGCTGCAATCTGATCCTTAATCTCTTGAAGTTTCATCTCCAAATTCTGTTGGGACAAGGTCGATTCTACCAATTCTTTTTCAACTGGTTCCATCTGCTAAGCACAAGTCTGAACCCGTTCTTGGCTTTTGGCTAAGTTAGCTTCATAGATGGGCAGATTCTTCCGGATGTCCGAGTTGGAGATGTATTTCTTTTGTAGATCATCGAACTTAGCAAGGAACTCATTTATAATTTCGGCGGTGACGCTGGTCATGCCCCTAGCCACAAGAGCTTCAAGGTCCTTCTTGATCTGATCAGATTGGCCACAAGGGTTCCTATTGTTCTCCGGATTGCCACCTTGGTTAGCCATTTCAGATGAACCTTCTTGGTTGTCCTGTTGCACCCGGTTCTGCCTTCTTCTTGCCGCTCTGGCTCTACGGATGGTAGCTTCGATTTCTGGGTCAAACACGGGTTCACTTCGTTGGTGCCTTCTAGTCATACACCAAAGAAAAGAAGAAGCTTAGTGAGGTAACCAGAGAAGAATTTTATATATACACACAAACAAAAACAACAAATTTTTGGAGGTTTTACGCCGTTCCCGGCAACGGCGCCACTTTCTGGTGCTTGCCGAGTTCACCAAAAAAAAGATAAATATTACTAGCTTCGATTATGAGTTTTGTAGATAATGGAAGCTAGGTCGATTGCACGAGGACATCTAATTACCAAATTTGTTGTAAAGAAAAACTGTCAGTCAACAAGGTGTCACTCAGGAGAATGAAACAGTCACTCAGGGGAATGGGGGCCAGGGGTGTTCTTCTCCTCTTCCTGCTGTTGTAGTTGTTTTATTAGCACAGTAATGGTTGAGTTCTTGTTCATTCAGCTCACTTATAACTCTAAGTCAGTTCCCATTTTTCCTAGAGTCATCTTTGCAACCTTAACAACCTATTTTCCAATGATTGATTCCAGCTACAAAGTCATTAAGTTCTTAGGCCTTCAAGAATGCTTATGTTAACTAAGTATATTCCTATCTTAGTTAAAACCATAGACTGTTACCTCTATGTCATAAGTTAAAGTTGAAACAATCCAAACCAAGTTTATCCTTCCAGATTTCCCTTAGTTCTAGCATGCATCCAATTTAGTGATCAAGTAAATGAATGTAGAAAAACTTTCAACCATAAAACAAGGAACAAAACCAGTGCTTTACAACTACAACATCAGTTGAGGAGAATAACCCCTGGGAGCTGTTTAGTTACTCATATAGATTAATGCTACATCTACTATATCGAAAGACATCATAGAAGTATGCATAGTAAACAGAATTCAAGCTAACAGTCAAAAGATGAGGAGAAAGCTTGTGCAGTTTCTGAGTCACTCCTGGGAGTGAAGGGGTTCACTCGTAGAACTGAAGAAGAAACTGGGTTGCTATTCTTCTACTTAGCTTCCTCACTGAGTCGTTGCTGCTTCTTTTTCTTTCTTGTCTTCTTCCTGGAGTTTTTCTGAGTGTTTTTGCAACTGAAAAGCTAACCAGAGACTGAGAGAGCCTTTCATTGAGAGTGCAGTTCCCTCTCTTATAGGGCTTTGCAGCCGGTGTCTTCATCATGAGAACCTCCCCATGCTTGGAGTTGTTTAATCCTCCCAATGTCTTGAGCCTGCAATCCAACTTGGCCGTTTCTTTTCTCTCTTCCAGCAGCAGCCGTTTTGCTCTCATTGATCAGCAGTGGTGGCTGGGATTGCAGCTGGGGGACAGGCATGCCTTTAGGAGGAGGCAAGGCCATTAATGACAAGATGCTTCTTGTCTAAGGCCCTTCTTCTTCGTCCAGCTCAGCACCCTTGCCTCAGCAGTCCATAATTTGCTCCTTTGGCTTCCAATTTTCAGCAATTATTCAGTCCGGTCCTTTCCTAACAATAACATGAAAATGAGCTAAGTAAATTGCACCAATGTCAAGGAATATCCCCAATTGTTCATCAAATACAAAGTTAAGTGTGATGCTTTTATGTAACAATTTAACTATTATCAACTCCCCCAAACTGGAAGAATTGCTTGTCCTCAAGCAAAAAACACTAAACTTTTGTTGGTACTTTCAGAATTGCACATAACAACTAGGGAAGACAAAATGACTGAAGATTGACTTATTCCCCTGAGTGAGGATTCCCACTCAGGTAAGTGACACTAAACAAGCAACAACCTTACACACAATCAGATAGGTGCTGTCAACTTTTCCGTCTCAGATTCAAGTAAAGAAAATATACATTTGAGGATACCAAATCTTTTCAATCCAGAGTCAAACAACCAACCTTCAGAGGGAATTTAGAATGCATATGCCACAAGTGTTTGTTCATGCCAAACCTACCAATCCATTCTAAGTTAACCGGTTAAACTTTTTGGTAGTCATTCTTGTGACCTGGTCTTGCCCAAGTTACTTGACTCGATTTACCTACTGACACTTCAATCCTGGAGTTCCTGCACAGCCTTTATGCTTTATTTATTTAGGAAATCTCTCTTTTTTTTTTTTTTAAATGGGGTGTAAATGGACCAATCTACAAGGGTGTTTTTCAACCTTATCTCTCCACTGCCTTATACCTCAACCCTTATTACTCCAACAGCTTGGAACTTTTTGTGGTGGTTCCTTGCTGTTACCCCTAAGGTTTCGGTTGATCCATTCCCTAAGATTTTTTTTTTTTTTTTTTTTGAACAAGAGCAAGCAGGCTGTGAATGGGTACCACAAAGGAAGTCTCAGATTTACGGCATTTCTCATCTAATTGTAGCTCAGAACTAGACACAGCTCACAACAGTGGATTAGTCATGCCAAATTTTAAGATTTATGTTCTAGGCAGTCACTTCCACGAGTGGCATTATTCATGTGTGTGAGTGAGTGTCAGCCATTCTTCTTTCATGCATCAGATTCAGTATCAAAAAGTGGTTTAACAAAATTGTTTTTCAAAACCATTATCATCCTAGACTGTTGACAGCTCCTTATAAGATTTTCATTTTGTTTTGAGAGATATTTTACAGAGTCAATCTAGACATGAACCTAATGGACCTAAATGACATTGTCCTGACATTGACCGACCTAACCAAAAACTAACTACAACTACTACTACTGCATTACTCCCCCCCAAACTTATCCTAAGCATTGCCCCCAATGCTTAACAACACTAACCCGGCAACAACAATAACAGAAAACAAAAGGTACAGAAAATAACACATGAAACATTAAACAGGTAACAAATAAATTGCTGATTAAGGGAAGCAGAACAGCACTTCCCTGAGTGTTCATTGAGGCATTCCGTGAAGTGGGTGGACTGGCGGATCATGCGGCATTGGGCAGTTTTCAGGGCATCCAATGCACTTGTGCATTTCCTGCAGGAATTTCTCCGTCCTCGTCTGGCATTGGTGGACGTAATCCAGGATGAACCTGCTCTGCTTGTTGAAATCCCTCTGCTTCAATTGTCCAGTTGAAGTGGGAGTGGATGTTGTTTGTCCCGGGCCATGAGGCACCTGGGGGTTTCTGGTCCAGCTTGTGCATCCTCAATGGTTGCTGCAAGTTGCTTTCTGCGTCGGTGTGCAGGAAGGTCACCCCTGCCCTTTTGCATAGCATGGTGACCATAACTGGGAAATACTAGCTCTTCATCTTTGGATCAGTGATGCATCGGGTGAGTTGCTCCCGGATGACTGAGGCTGCATCAAATGGTGTGTCTGTGGCAATGGCATACAGCAGCAGGGCCATCTCGTAGGTGACCTTAGCAGTGTAGGATGTTGGCATCAGGTTGCAGCAGATGAAATGGTGCCAGAGATTCAAGTCAGGCGTTTGCAACGCGTTTGCTGGAAATCCCAACGGGTTTTCTTGGTCATCCATTTCCCAGCTTGTGCCCTCTTTTGCCAATCTGGACAGAATGGCCTGTTTCAGCGGTTGATTTGGATGCAGGGCAGCCAGGGTTTCCCTGTAATCAATGCTTATTCTTGGTAATTTCCAGATGGCCCTGATGGCCTCTGTGCTGCAATTGACGCTGATGCCTCTGACGAACACTCCATCTCTGGGGGCAGTGTGGAAGTTGCCGTAAAATTCTTGCACAATCTGGATCCGTGGCTTGATCAGTGGTTTGGAGAAGGTCTCCCAGCCATGGCGCTTGATGTAGGCAAAAGCTGCGCCATCTTCACCGATTCCCCTTTCTGGAATGAACTTTCGCCTTATGTGTTTCAAAAAGAAATCCCAACCCTTCTTCCTTGGGAACAACCTGGGTTCCCATTCATCTGTGATGGCATTAAGGGCTTGTTCTTGCAGCGCCCTTGGTGGTTGTGGAGGTGGTGGTGGGGTGGGTTCTCTTGCAGGGGATGCTGGTGGAGTGGGCGTTCTTTGCTGTTTAGGAGAGGGCGAGGATGAGGAGGATGATATCCTTCTCCTTGTGTTGGAGGCGGTTTTGCGGGCAGCAGCCTTCCTCCTTGCCGGTGGCATCTTGTGACAAACCCTAAGAGTTGTATTGGCAAAATTGAAAGAGGGGTTTTGTGATTGAATCTGAAAATTGCCTTCTGTGCCTGGAAACTTAGAGAAATTGTTAGTATGTTCACACAGGGAAGTGGTGGTTGCAGGAGTGATTCTTGGATTAAGAAGAAAATGAAGAAGACGAAGCAATGAAGGAGTTATGAGTTAATGCACAGCAGTTAAAGTTTTTTGGAAATCGTGGCTGACTGAAGTGACTCAAAGAGGCGGACGTGGTTAAAATTGAAATTTGAAATTTTCCGGAAAATTTTCCCCCCAAACTTAGCCCATAACTGCAACCCAAAAGGTGACTTTTTGCAGAAAGTGTCGTACAGTTGTTCTCACTCAGGCGAGTGGACTTTTCCACTTGCGTGAGTGACGTCAGGGTTAGAAAATTGGTGGGATTCCTTCCCATAGGTTTACTCAGCTGAGTGACCTTCTTCACTCCTAGGAGTGAGTTTACCTGAGGCCCTTTCTGTTACACCTTTTGAAATCTGTTGGGGTGGAAAATTTCTTGTCCAATCCTGCAAAAATTAGAGTAGCACATTGTCAGCCATACAAAAGCAAAACGTATGGGTTGCCTCCCATAAAGCGCATTGATTTTAAGTCTCATGCCAGACTTCAAAAGAAATTTAAGTAAAGTTCTTTCAGGACCAGAACTTGATAGTTCTGTCCTTTACTCCCTTCTGTCCATCCAAGGTATGGCTTAAGCCTCTGACCATTAACCAAAAAGGTGTTGCCATTTTGTGGGTTCATGATCTCCACTGCTCCATGAGTTAGGACCTTGTTGATTTTGTAGGGCCCGGTCCATCTTGACTTCAATTTCCCTGGAAAGAATTTCAGCCTGGAATTGTACAACAAGACCTCTTGTCCTTCTTGGAAGTTCTTCTTGACAATGTGTTGATCATGGTAAGCCTTAGTTTTCTCTTTATAGACTCTGGACGATTCGTATGCCTCTAGTCTGAATTCTTTCAGTTCATTCAACTGAACCAATCTCAACTCCTTGCTTTTGCCCGGATCAAGATTCAGTTCCTTGATAGCCCAATAAGCTTTATGTTCCAACTCTACTGGCAAGTGGCATGCTTTTCCATAGACCAGTTTGAATGGAGACATACCAATGGGAGTCTTGTATGCTGTCCTATATGCCCATAAAACTTCATCCAACCTTGAGGACCAATTCTTCCTGGTAGAATTAACAACCTTTTCCAGGATTCTTTTCACTTCCCTGTTTGACACTTCTGCTAGCCCGTTTGATTGTGGATGGTACGGTGTTGATACCTTGTGCCTGATTCCATATTTCTTTACCATGACTGCAAATGACTTGTTACAGAAGTGTGATCCTTCATCACTGAGTATCATCCTGGGTGTACCAAACCTGGCGAAAATATTTTTTCTTTGGGAATGCACCTTCTGATCCATCTTGAAACGTAGTTCACTGCCAGTAGGATGTAGGAATTCCCAAAGGATGACACGAAGGGACCCATGAAGTCTATCCCCCATACATCAAACAGTTCCACTTCAAGCACGTTCTGCTGTGGCATCTCATTTTTCCAGGAAATATTTCTTGTCCTTTGGCACCGGTCACAGCTTTTGACAAATTCTCTTGCATCTCTGAACAGGGTTGGCCAGTACAGTCCACCTTGTAGAACCTTGATTGCCGTCCTTTGACCGTTGAAATGTCCACCATAGGGTGAACTGTGGCATTTGTGTAACACTTCTGTGAATTCAGATTCTGGAATGCACCTTCTGATCAATTGGTCTGCACATCTTTTGAATAAGTAGGGTTCATCCCATAGGTAGAGTTGAGCATCGTGCAAGAATCTCTTGCGTTGTTGTGGGGTGAGATCTGGGGGAATAACACTAGCAACAACAAAGTTAGCAAAATCTGCAAACCAAGGCCTGTTACCTATCACTCTCATGAGTGTGCCTGTCACTCGCCAGAGTAACTCATCAGGGAATTTTTCTGAGATTGGGGTTGTGTCTTCTGGAATTTCTTCAAGCCTTGACAGATGGTCTGCTACTTGATTCTCAGCACCCTTTCTGTCTCTTATCTCCAAATCAAATTCCTGCAACAACAACACCCATCTAATCAACCTTGGTTTAGACTCTTTTTTGTTGATCAAGTACCTGATGGCTGCATGGTCGGTATAGACTATGACTCTCATCCCTAGCAAATAAGCTCTGAATTTATCAAATGCAAATACAATTGCCAGCATTTCCTTCTCTGTAGTGGTGTAGTTGACTTGTGCAGAGTTAAGGGTTTTACTAGCATAGTAAACCACATGTAACACCTTGTTCCTTCTTTGTCCAAGTAAAACACCAACTGCAAAATCACTTGCATCACACATTAGTTCAAAAAGTTGTGACCACTCGGGTGTGATGATCACAGGTGCGGTGATGAGTTTGTTTTTCAATTCAGTGAATGCATTTAAACAGGATTCATCAAAAATAAAAACAGTGTCTTTTTCAAGCAAATTGCACAAAGGTTTAGAAATTTTTGAAAAATCTTTAATGAACCTCCTGTAAAAACCAGCATGGCCCAGGAAACTTCTCACTCCCCTGACTGTGGTTGGAGGGCTGAGTTTCTCAATGACTTCAATCTTTGCCTTATCCACTTCAATTCCCTTTTGTGAGATCTTATGCCCCAAGACAATTCCTTCAGTTACCATAAAATGGCATTTCTCCCAGTTGAGAACCAGGTTGGCTTCTATACATCTTTTCAGTATCAGCCCAAGGTTGTCGAAACATGCATCAAATGACTTACCAAAGACCGAGAAATCGTCCATAAAGACCTCAATTATGTCTTCCACCATATCAGAGAAAATGGCCATCATACATCTTTGAAAAGTTGCTGGTGCATTACACAGTCCAAATGGCATTCTCTTGAAGGCAAATGTGCCATAAGGGCAGGTGAAAGTCGTCTTCTCTTGATCATCAGGGTCTATGGCAATCTGGTTGTAACCTGAGAAACCATCAAGGAAACAGTAATACATGAATCCAGCTAATCTATCCAACATTTGATCAATAAAAGGAAGGGGAAAGTGGTCCTTTCTGGTAGCTTTATTAAGCTTTCTATAGTCCATGCACACTCTCCATGAATTGTTCAGCTTTGTTGGGATTAGCTCCTGGAGGTCATTCTTTACCACTGTGATTCCTCCCTTCTTGGGCACGCACTGCACTGGACTCACCCACTTGCTGTCAGATATTGGGAAGATAATCCCTGCATCCAGCAGCTTGATAATCTCCTTTTTCACCACTTCCTTCATGACTGGGTTGAGTCTTCTTTGTCCTTCAATGGTTGGCTTGGCGTCATCTTCAAGCAGGATTTTGTGCATGCATATGGAGGGGCTGATGCCCTTAATGTCAGCAATTGACCACCCAATGGCTTCCTTGTGCAATCTAAGTACTCTCAGCAATTTGTCCTCTTCAGTACCTGTAAGCATAGAAGAAATGATTACAGGTAAGGTGTTACTTGCTCCAACGTAGGCGTACTTCAAATGTGAGGGCAGAGGATTAAGTTCGAGATAAGGTGGTTCTTCAATTGAAGGTTTGAGGCATCTCCCTTCCTTGGTCAGGTTTATCAGTTCAAAGGGTTGCTGTGTAGGATGCCACTTGGGGGAGTGGTTCAGGTAGCTCAGGCAAGTGGCCCTGTACTCATCCCCTCCTTCATGTTCCTCATTATAGTCTGGGCACCAAAGTTCCTTGAGGAGATCGTCTTGCAGTAATTCTTCCGTCACTGCTTCCTCTGCTTCTACATTTCTTACCATGTAGCAGTCGTGGACTTCAGCGGGATATCTCATATTTTTGAAGATGTTGAAGGTGACCTTCTCCCCATCAAAGTGCAGTGTGATTTCTCCCTTTTTCACCTTAATGATTGCATTGCTTGTTGCCAGAAAAGGTCTCCCCAAGATGATGGGTACATCCCTGTCTTCTTCCATGTCCAAAACCACAAAATCGGCTGGGTAAACAAAGTTACCAACTTTCACGAGAACATCATGTAAGATTCCCTTTGGTTAGTCAGAGATCTGTCTGCCAACTGCAAGGTCATGTTAGTAGGTACCAGAAATTTGTCCAGATCAAGGGATTTAAATACAGACAATGGCATGAGATTTATGCTTGCACCAAGATCTAGTAATGCTTTTGAAAATTCTCTGATTCCTACAGTGCAAGGAAGAGTGAAACTACCTGGATCTTTCAGCTTAGGTGGTAATTTTCTAAGGATAGCTGCACTACATTCTTCATTTAGAGTGACAAAAGCAGAGTTATGCATTTGTGGCTTATTCGCCACCAAATCCTTCAAGTACTTAAAGTATTTAGGCATTTGTTTAAGTGCATCAACAAGCGGTACATTAATATGTATACTTTCTAAATTCTGAATAAACCTGTTGAGTCCTTCATCCATTTTTGCTTTCTTCTGTCTTACTGGATATGGTGGCGTTGGAGCTGGCTGTTGTGGTTCCTTAATTGGTGCTGGAAATTGAATTCCCTCCATTCCAGGTTTTTCAGCGGGTTGCTCCTGTTCAACCATATCATCATTATCAGATATTTGCTCAAAAGAAGTTTCATTTTTACCTGCAGGGTCACTCGCAGGAGTGGCTTCTTCACTTGTCTGATTGAGTTGCTTTCCACTTCGGAGAGTGACAGCCTTCGCTTGCTTTTGGTCATTCCCCTTGGGGTTCACAATTGTGTCACTGGGCAGGCTCCCAGATGGTCTTTCAGCATTGTGTTTTGCAATCTGGGCCAACTGATTTTCCAAACTTTTACAAGACACCACCAAACCCTTGATTGCAATTTGAACAGAAATCCATTCATCTTCCCTTGGTATGTATTGTTGGTTAGAACGTTGCTGATTCTGATAATTGGGAAGCTGACCATCTTGTCTGTTGAATCCTGGGGGTTGAGCAAGCCTTTGATAATTTCCTTGTTGTGGAGCATTGTTCCAGTTGGTCTGTTGTTGATTTCTCCAATTGTTGAAGTTGTTGAATCCCCCTGCATTGCCCTGTCTGACAAACTGGACAGCTTCCATTTTAGACGGGCAGTCATCCAAACTATGGGATCCATCACATAATACACATACTTCTGCCTTGGATTTGGACAGCTCACTTCTGAGTTTAGTCATTTCGTTCATCATAACAGCCATTTGAGCTTGCAGATGTGTACTGGGATCAAGTTCCATCACCCCTGGCTGTTTTGAAATTACCCTTGGATCAGATTGCCATCTTGAATGGTTGGTGGTCATATAGTCGAGCAATTGCCTTGCTGCATCAACTGGCTTCATCATAAATACACCACCAGCTGCAGCATCAAGGGAGTCTCTTGTAGTTGGTAGCAGACCATTGTACAAGATGCTCAGTTGCAGATGCTCTTCCAAACCATGCTGAGGGCATTTTCTGACCATTTCTTTCAATCTTTCCCATGCTTCATAAAGCGTTTCTGTTCCATGCTGCTTGAAGTTAGTTATTGCTGTTCTGAGTTGTGCAGCTTTTGCAGGTGGGAAGAATTTATGCTTGCACCAAGATCTAGTAATACTTTTGAAAATTCTCTGATTCCTACAGTGCAAGGAAGAGTGAAACTACCTGGATCTTTCAGCTTAGGTGGTAATTTTCTCAGGATAGCTGCACTACATTCTTCATTTAGAGTGACAAAAGCAGAGTTATGCATTTGTGGCTTATTCGCCACCAAATCCTTCAAGTACTTAAAGTATTTAGGCATTTGTTTAAGTGCATCAACAAGCGGTACATTAATATGTATACTTTCTAAATTCTGAATAAACCTGTTGAGTCCTTCATCCATTTTTGCTTTCTTCTTTCTTACTGGATATGGTGGCGTTGGAGCTAGCTGTTGTGGTTCCTTAATTGGTGCTGGAAATTGAATTCCCTTCATTCCAGGTTTTTCAGCGGGTTGCTCCTGTTCAACCATATCATCATTATCAGATATTTGCTCAAAAGAAGTTTCATTTTTACCTGCAGGGTCACTCGCAGGAGTGACTTCTTCACTTGGCTGATTGAGTTGCTTTCCACTTCGGAGAGTGACAGCCTTCGCTTGCTCTTGGTCATTCCCCTTGGGGTTCACAATTGTGTCACTGGGCAGGCTCCCAGATGGTCTTTCAACATTTTGTTTTGCAATCTGGGCTAACTGATTTTCCAAACTTTTACAAGACACCGCTAAACTCTTGATTGCATTTTGTACAGAAATCCATTCATCTTCCCATGGTATGTATTGTTGGTTAGAACGTTGCTGATTCTGATAATTGGGAAGCTGACCATCTTTTCTGTGGAATCCTGGGGGTTGAGCAGGCCTTTGATAATTTTCTTGTTGTGGAGCATTGTTCCAGTTGGTCTGTTGTTGATTTCTCCAATTGTTGAAATTGTTGAATCCCCCTGCATTGCGCTGTCTGACAAACTGGACAGCTTCCATTTTAGACGGGCAGTCATCCAAACTATGGGATCCATCACATAATACACATACTTCTGCCTTGGATTTGGACAGATCACTTCTGAGTTTAGTCATTTCGTTCATCATAACAGCCATTTGAGCTTGCAGATGTGTACTGGGATCAAATTCCATCATCCCTGGCTGTTTTGAAATTGCCCTTGGATCAGATTGCCATCTTGAATGGTTGGTGGTCATATTGTCGAGCAATTGCCTTGCTGCATCAACTGGCTTCATCACAAATACACCACCAGCTGCAGCATCAAGGGAGTCTCTTGTAGTTGGTAGCAGACCATTGTAGAAGATGCTCAGTTGCAGATGCTCTTCCAAACCATGCTGAGGGCATTTTCTGACCATTTCTTTCAAACTTTCCCATGCTTCATAAAGCGTTTCTGTTCCATGCTGCTTGAAGTTCATTATTGCTGTTCTGAGTTGTGCAGCTTTTGCAGGTGGGAAGAATTTATGCTTGCACCAAGATCTAGTAATGCTTTTGAAAATTCTCTGATTCCTACAGTGCAAGGAAGAGTGAAACTACCTGGATCTTTCAGCTTAGGTGGTAATTTTCTCAGGATAGCTGCACTACATTCTTCATTTAGAGTGACAAAAGCAGAATTATGCATTTGTGGCTTATTTGCCACCAAATCCTTCAAGTACTTAAAGTATTTAGGCATTTGTTTAAGTGCATCAACAAGCGGTACATTAATATGTATACTTTCTAAATTTTGAATAAACCTGTTGAGTCCTTCATCCATTTTTGCTTTCTTCTGTCTTACTGGATATGGTGGCGTTGGAGCTGGCTGTTGTGGTTCCTTAATTGGTGCTGGAAATTGAATTCCCTCCATTCCAGGTTTTTCAGCGGGTTGCTCCTGTTCAACCATATCATCATTATCAGATATTTGCTCAAAAGAAGTTTCATTTTTACCTGCAGGGTCACTCGCAGGAGTGGCTTCTTCACTTGGCTGATTGAGTTGCTTTCCACTTCGGAGAGTGACAGCCTTCGCTTGCTTTTGGTCATTCCCCTTGGGGTTCACAATTGTGTCACTGGGCAGGCTCCCAGATGGTCTTTCAGCATTGTGTTTTGCAATCTGGGCCAACTGATTTTCCAAACTTTTACAAGACACCACCAAACCCTTGATTGCAATTTGAACAGAAATCCATTCATCTTCCCTTGGTATGTATTGTTGGTTAGAACGTTGCTGATTCTGATAATTGGGAAGCTGACCATCTTGTCTGTTGAATCCTGGGGGTTGAGCAAGCCTTTGATAATTTCCTTGTTGTGGAGCATTGTTCCAGTTGGTCTGTTGTTGATTTCTCCAATTGTTGAAATTGTTGAATCCCCCTGCATTGCGCTGTCTGACAAACTGGACAGCTTCCATTTTAGACGGGCAGTCATCCAAACTATGGGATCCATCACATAATACACATACTTCTGCCTTGGATTTGGACAGCTCACTTCTGAGTTTAGTCATTTCGTTCATCATAACAGCCATTTGAGCTTGCAGATGTGTACTGGGATCAAGTTCCATCACCCCTGGCTGTTTTGAAATTACCCTTGGATCAGATTGCCATCTTGAATGGTTGGTGGTCATATAGTCGAGCAATTGCCTTGCTGCATCAACTGGCTTCATCATAAATACACCACCAGCTGCAGCATCAAGGGAGTCTCTTGTAGTTGGTAGCAGACCATTGTACAAGATGCTCAGTTGCAGATGCTCTTCCAAACCATGCTGAGGGCATTTTCTGACCATTTCTTTCAAACTTTCCCATGCTTCATAAAGCGTTTCTGTTCCATGCTGCTTGAAGTTCATTATTGCTGTTCTGAGTTGTGCAGCTTTTGCAGGTGGGAAGAATTTTGTTAGGAAACACTGCCTTAACTCTTCCCAAGTGGAAATGGAGTTGTTGGGTAGTGTGTTGAACCATGCTTGGGCTTGATCCTGCAATGTAAAAGGGAATAGTCTCAGTCTAATGTCATAATTAGATAAGCCTTGAATTTTAAAAGTACTGCATAAACGCAGAAAACTTCGGATGTGATCATTAGGATCTTCATGAGGTAATCCATGGAATGGGCAGGCTGATTGAGTCCATTGGATCATCTGTGGCTTGAGCTCAAAATTGGTTGCTTCTACATCAGGGAACACTAGAGGAGATTGGACTTCTTCTTGCTGTGGAATGAAGAAATCTCTAAGCAGTCTTTCTGGTCGATTTTGTTGATCCCCACCAGGGTTCATATTGTTCTCCGGATTGCCACCTTGGTTAGCCATTTCAGATGAACATTCTTGGTTGTCCTGTTGCACCCAGTTCTGCCTTCTTCTTGCCGCTCTGGCTCTACGGATGGTAGCTTCGATTTTTGGGTCAAACACGGGTTCACTTCGTTGGTGCCTTCTAGTCATACACCAAAGAAAAGAAACTGGAAGCTTAGTGAGGTAACTAGAGAAGAATTTTATATATACACACAAACAAAAACAACAAATTTTTGGAGGTTTTACGCCGTCCCCGGCAACGGCGCCACTTTCTGGTGCTTGCCGAGTTCACCAAAAAAAAGATAAATATTACTAGCTTCGATTATGAGTTTTGTAGATAATGGAAGCTAGATCGATCCCACGAGGACAGCTAATTACCAAATTTGTTGTAAAGAAAAACTGTCAGTCAACAAGGTGTCACTCAGGAGAATGAAACAGTCACTCAGGGGAATGGGGGCCAGGGGTGTTCTTCTCCTCTTCCTGCTGTTGTAGTTGTTTTATTAGCACAGTAATGGTTGAGTTCTTGTTCATTCAGCTCACTTATAACTCTAAGTTAGTTCCCATTTTTCCTAGAGTCATCTTTGCAACCTTAACAACCTATTTTCCAATGATTGATTCCAGCTACAAAGTCATTAAGTTCTTAGGCCTTCAAGAATGCTTATGTTAACTAAGTATATTCCTATCTTAGTTAAAACCATAGACTGTTACCTCTATGTCATAAGTTAAAGTTGAAACAATCCAAACCAAGTTTATCCTTCCAGATCTCCCTTAGTTTTAGCATGCATCCAATTTACTGATCAAGTAAATGAATGTAGAAAAACTTTCAACCATAAAACAAAGAACAAAACCAGTGCTTTACAACTACAACATCAGTTGAGAAGAATAACCCCTGGGAGCTGTTTAGCTACTCATATAGATTAATGCTACATCTACTATATCGAAAGACATCATAGAAGTATGCATAGTAAACAGAATTCAAGCTAACAGTCAAAAGATGAGGAGAAAGCTTGTGCAGTTTCTGAGTCACTCCTGGGAGTGAAGGGGTTCACTCGTGGGCCGAAGAAGAAAGCTGGGTTGCTATTCTTCAACTTAGCTTCCTCACCGAGTCGTTCTTGCTTCTTCTTCTTTCTTGTCTTCTACCTGGAGTTTTTCCGAGTGTTTTTGCAATGAAAAGCTAACCGAGAGGCGAGAGAGCCTTTCATTGAGAGTGCAGTTCCCTCTCTTATAGGGCTTTGCAGCCGGTGTCTTCATCATGAGAACCTCCCCATGCTTGGAGTTGTTTAATCCTCCCAATGTCTTGAGCCTGCAATCCAACTTGGCCGTTTCTTTTCTCTCTTCCAAAGCAGCCGTTTTGCTCTCATTGATCGCGGTGGTGGTGGGATTGCAGTGGGGACAGGCATGCCTTTAGGAGGAGGCAAGGCCATTAATGACAAGATGCTTCTTGTCTAAGGCCCTTCTTCTTCGTCCAGCTCAGCACCCTTGCCTCAGCAGTCCATAATTTGCTCCTTTGGCTTCCAATTTTCAGCAATTATTCAGTCCGGTCCTTTCCTAACAATAACATGAAAATGAGCTAAGTAAATTGCACCAATGTCAAGAAATATCCCCAATTGTTCATCAAATACAAAGTTAAGTGTGATGCTTTTATGTAACAATTTAACCATTATCAATTGGTCACGGCCAATTGTTGCCTAAAGACATCAGGGTTGCCTGGCATAATGATCAAGAACGTCTGTTGCCAGCACAATCTGAAAGCTACTGTGCATATCGGTCTTGGAGTGAATGGAACAATGGTTGCGTCTTGCATCAGCACATTCATGAGATTGACCCGGCCGGCGACTGTAGATGGAGAAATATGAAACCTGTCGATTCTCTAGTTGTTCCAGTAGTTGAAATCAAAGCTGGGAAGAATTTGCACTAGGCCAAGCTGTCGAGCCACCATGTTCCCATGGGAGGCAGAGAAGGTTAGAGGTGGTTGACCAAAAGCGGGCGGCAGTGCTAAACTCAGCCGGATCAAAGGGGACCCCAATTTTACAGAACTAGATTAGGTCATAGATTCCGGCATCACGCCAGACTTCCTCGAGCTCCGGCTCCAGATAATCACACCAATTGACCCAGCAGGGATAGATTTTGACTTTTGGGGACCAAGGCCAACTACGGTGGCTATGAACGCTCTGGCAGTTGCTGTGATTGACGAATTGGTGATGAGGACTTGGGGGATGACATATCGGAACATGCCGGAAGAGCACCGGTGGAGCAGCATCGAAACCCGGCCCTAAACTGTAGGACTGAATTTATTCATTGACTGGAGCTATGGTATCCGGGTAATTAGGCACTAGTGATGGGGCCTCAGCTTCACGGATATCCCGTTTGTTGGCGAGTACAACAGAGTAATCCCTTACAGCAGCCATGGAAGTGATGAACAGAAGGTCACCAGAGAAAGGGGCAGAGAGTTTGAGAAAGAAAAGAGGAAAAAGAGATTGGGAGAATCGATGAGAATGATGGTGTTTTGAGAAAAAGGGGAACAACATATTAATAACATCTCGGGGAAAGCATTAACAGACTGATATTACCAAATCAATAGGGGATTTGGATGACATTGAAATCCCACTTCTCTGGGGATCAGCCAATAATAGAGGAGATGTGTTTCAGTAAGGGAATATTTGAATTTTGCCTGGGAAGGTTAGAAAACTTGTTCAGTGCATTTCACAATTTTTCTCGAGAGGCATTATGTTAGGCTAGTTTTTTCCGATTGGGCTTTGTAAGATTTGGGAGAAAGAAGCCTAGTTGTTATAGGGTTAGAATTGTGAACCGACTGGGATTTAAGCACTATTTAAAGGAATCGGCGGTAGGAGGAAGGACACAATCAAATTAATATCAAATTGCTTCTTTAAATTTTCTGTCTTTTATTTCCGATTTTATCTCTAAAATTAGGGTTCTTAAAGAACTCTCTAGACTAGGCCGATCATCGGCGGTTGTACTTGATCATTCTAGAATTTTGATAAAGTCTGGCCTACGATCGATTCTTATTATTCCGAAATTCTTACTTTCAGTTTTCGTAGCACAAGTTGTAAAGAACAACGCACAATCGTTTGATAGATATATTACGTGATTTTCCCAGGACAAAAATTGTGCAAACACTTTCTAAGCATTTCCTAGTGATTGGGTTGTATTCAACGTGGATGAATTATAGTTATGGTCAGGAATTAATATTCTTGTACAAACCATATTTAACTAGCCAAACTTGAAGAGTACTGAGCTAACATGGTAGTATAATTTGCGGTTATGCTTTATTTATCTCTTTTGAATTATTCAGTTAGGATTTAAAATTGAGTTAAAAGTTTATTTATATATTGATTAAATGAAGCTAAAAGTTACAATCTCCCAGCTAGAAGCGAAACAAAGTGGTCCTGCGGAGCAGGGTCTTACACCATCTCTCCTTCTATGGGAGCTATGGTAAATTAAGAACAAAATTAGTCATGAAGGTGCACTTGTTTCCTTTGATCTTGCAATTCGTAGAATTCAAACTAACGTTTCCATGATCTTAAGTGTTCATGAATTGCAAGCACAAACTACCACTGAAGTGGAAAAATTGGATAAAATTTTGAGTGTCAGAATTATGGAACCAAGGCAAAAGAAAATACAGATGCTTTCCTGGAGGCCCCAAAATATTATAGAATATATTCTCAATATGGATGGATCTGCACTAGATTCAACGAGTGCTGCTGGCTGGAGCTATATAGTTCGAGCCGACAATGGAAGATTTCTCAGAGGTGAAGCTAAATATATTGAAATTAAGGTTTACAGCGGAGATTGAAGGAATTCTACATGGATTAACATGGTGTGAAACTAAAGGACTTCGCCGCATAAAAGTCCAAACTAATAGTGGTAAGTCATTTCCACGGCAACATCATGCATTCCTTAAGGAAATTAGGGACATCACATTGTTCGGCTTCTTAAATTGAGCATATATATCAAGAAATAAATACTCTTGCAGTCCCTTTATCTAAAAATTCATCAAGTGGCATCTCCATTATATACGACAACTATGATGTCTTCCAACATCATTGAAAAGAATGCTACTATTGGATCAAAAAACCTTTCCATACATGTGAATTAGGTAGAGAGATACTTTCAGGTTTTAATGTAACAATTAGATTTATTTTAGCTATTAGTAGATTGGTTTATCTAAAGAATTGATAAGAGGTTCTGAACAATCTTTGTAAACCTGTTCTTGATTCTAAAATTGATAG